ATATATAACATCTATAGTGGTGCCAATCTAGGCGTGGTTGCACATGCATTGGCCTGACACTTCAGTTGACCTCATAAGGATGCACTTTGTTCTAAAATGAAATAATTGTTCGATATTTAATCTAATGTTTGCTGTACGGTAAATCCTGCTTTCTGTCTCTAAGTTTGTGGTTAGGATAAAACCTGCCTCATCTCTTCTCGCATTGTATATGAGGACACCAAGGGCCTATCCACAATCTAGGAGGGCCAAAGTGAAGAGATTAGCACTGGCTGCTAGGAGAGGAGATGGGGTTAGCCCCACCGTAAGAATTTTTTTAAGGCTTGCTGGAGTTCAGCTTAAAGCAGGTTAAAAATTGTTGCATGCACTATATTTTGTGATCGCACCACAGGTGCTGCTGTGACACGCTTTCTAGTGCGGGCGATCGCACTGTAGGCAGGAGGTGTGGCTGCAGTGCCATTGACTTGAATGGCACCACCATGCCCCTCCCGCTCTAGAATGCAGGGGGGCTTAATTATGTGATCCAGTGCATTGCAGCCACTAACTATGCTGGAACGCACTTGTTGTGGTGTGAACAACCCCTAAGATAAATTCAGGGATAATAGCCTATCTGCTACTAGTTTAACATTTTTACTTACATTGCTCTACTGTACCAGTAAACCCCATTCCTCTTTTTCTGTAAACTTATGACCCTGAAATGCACCAGTTTGAGATGCTTGAACACCCTATTTACTCCCTCTTGCATGCACTGGAGGTTTAAATGTGACTACTGATGCAGGAAACAAGTGGAAAGAAAGTGGCACAAGATTCAGGAAGTACAATGTTACTGCCTTCATACTGACCCTCTATCGAGCCATGGTGCTTATTCTATAAGGGGTTATAAAGAACTTATATTGGGTAAACTGAATTTACTTTATGGTTGAATTTACTGGATAGATTTATTAGCTTGCCGAAAATGCTGTATGTTGTTGTTCTTTCAAAAAGCTTTATCAGTAGCAAACATCTGCCACAAGAATAACAGAACTTCAGACATTGTTAGAACGTTTTACATGATAGTTCAAGAGGACAGTTTCATCTTATATATTCTTTATTTATTTATTACAAAACACAAGACATCTTCTAAACAATACCATCTGTTTTGGAGAACAGTTTCTTACTTTCATAAAAACATATTTTTGACAAAAATCTTTAAGTTAAGGAAGGAAATATGTAGCTGTCTTGTTAGAAGGTTTGTGACACAATATATAGAATCTGTGGGGAAAATATAATGACCTTTTAATTTATTTCCATGGGAGCTTGTAGAGACATTAAAGGGTTTCCGAGCAAAACAACTAGATGAACCATGCAAGCAATTATTTGAAGTTCTAAAATCATTAACACAATTCCAATCTTACTCAAAAATCTTACTCAGCTTGAACAGTTTTCTTATCTTCGGACTAATGTGCATTAGCTTTGACTGAGCAAATACATAGAGATGCCACATGGCCAAATTTCAGTTCATTCATTAAGCACTCTGATGTGCAAAGAAAACCTTGCAACTAGTACCTATTGTTTAATCAAATGAAACCTTAAAGCAAAACTCTGGGCACAAATTTTATTAACACTGTCAGTGGAGTTACCCCATTGCTTCAAAAATCCCTACCTAAATGCCCCTTTTACTCACGTAAATATGCCTGCATGATGTGAACACTTTCTATTGGCTCTCCAGTGTTGGGATCCTCTAAGGATTCAGAAGAGACTGTAGGTGATAACATCAGCATAAGGTGACTTTCGGGGACTGGCTGGCATGGGCACATCTGCAGCAGTGAATTACCAGTCTCCAGCACCCAGAAACAGCACCAACAAGGGACCCAGGTGGTTGGCTTAGGTGAGTAAGATAATGCTTCAACAGGTATTAAAAAAACAAACAGTAGGGTGAGAAGGGGGTGGCAGGCATTTTCAATTTTTGCATGGAGGACGGGCTTTAGGTAGACACAATTGCCCTTGGTTGTCATGGAGAAGCCATAGCAAAATATTAAATAAAAACATTATTTTTTATTTTTTTTAACATTTTTACACTAGTGTTCCCTTTAAATAATCAATTATTTCAGTTTTTCTTAACGCCATTTAATAATGATGACTACTTCATATCAATTTTACATCATATTACTTGTAAAATAAGGTACATGAAAGAGGGCAATTAAAGTAAAGGATACTTAGTACAGATTATGGTTGATTAAAGCTGTACCCAAATTAGCACCTATTAAAATACTCTTTAAGTCTACAGCACAGTAATCCGCTATTAAAATTATTTTGCTCTGCTCTGATATTTCATATACCACTAATTAAGACTTAAAGAAGTAAAGAGTTCATTTGGAAAGTTTCCAAAAGAAAACTTAAAAAAAAATGGATTGTGATCTGTTCAATGCATGTATTGTTTTATTAAACATTTATATTTACTGTACAGTATGAAATTATACTCATTCAATCAACAAAATACTTTAACAATACTTGTTTTCTATTTAATTGATTTGAATATCCCCTACCTGCTTCATTGATAAGAGCGGAGAAAGACTTTTCCAGATGGAAGATTTGATATAGGCATGTTTGCCACCATTCCTACATGACAACACCAAACAGATTAGTTTGATTTTTGGTTGGATGGTTAGAAATGCTGCCCAGTAACAGTGGGGAAGCATTTCTAAAGAATATTTGCATTACAAAGCAGGACCACACACATTTCCAATTTTTTACAACTGTAGACTTAAAGTGGATACAAACTCTAACCCTTAATTATTAACATCCTCCATTCCCTTTCTAAAAAAAATTAACATGTTTTTAATACCTAAAGGTTGATCATGAGTTCAACCCTAACTCGAGCTGTTCAAGGTTCCCTGAATACCCACCCAAACCTGTGGCTGCTTTACCAGTAAGTAATTCATTTAGTAGTGGTATTAGTACCACTACTAACTGAATTACTTCCCATCTGCCAGCTTGTTTTATATAGTAAAAAATGTAAACAATGACAAATGGTCAATGCCATTTGTGATATGAGTCTCTGAGGAGAAGATTGTTGGCTTGAGTTCAGGGTGTTGGGGCGTCATTCATCACGATTAACGATGTTGCTGGATGATGTGAATGATGTTGGAGTTACATTGTGGGACTTTTTTATTTTCTTAAACAGACTCTTGGTGGCAATAGCTGATTGTGGGCTTCACACTGAAATTGATTCCGGTGGCTGAGCTGTCGCCAGACCGCTTCTAGGCTCTGGCGTAGTGAGCTCCCCTGCCCGACACTGCCACCCTGCTTCCCGGGTGCCACTGCCTCTACTGTGGGCCTGGGACCATCATCATGGGTGTCGATGGGAAGCAGGGAAGTAGACCAGTGAACATCATTCACTGATCTCCTCCCCGCTGAATGGGGCCTGAAACCAATGCTGATTGCATCACTTCTAGTCCCTCAGCTGTCATTCCCCGTGAAGAAG